GACCCTGGCCGTACCGAGGACTTGCCAGAGCTGCCGATCAACTGAGACGCCGAGGAGCTGCTGGGGCTGTCTCTGGCCACCTACTGCTGGGAGATGGAGGACACCCATGGAACTGGAGGTCAGGGCCGGCTTTAGGCCGATTCCCCCGAATCGGGCCCCGTGCCCTAAAGAAGAGCGCCTAACTTAGATGCCTTTTTAATTTTTACTCACCTGGCGGTGGTCCAGGTCTTCGGCGCCACTTCGGTGGGGGTCTTTCACTCGCTCCGAGTCTTCAGCTGTGGGTCCTTCGCTCGCTCTGGGTCTTCGGCAGCATTTCGGCGGTGGGTCCTTCCGTGCCACGGAAGACCCAGAGCGAGTGAAGGACCTGTCACCGAAATGCCGCCGAAGACCTGGACTGCCGCCGGGTATTTGAATCGGGCCCCGCACTTTCTAAAGCTGGCCCTGCTGGAGGTACCCATCAAGGGGAAAGTAGGAAGTAGCCCAGGGGTACTAGACAACAGTCTGGTTGGGGGTTTGGCATGATACTAGGTCAGTGTATTGCAGGCAAATCCCTGCTGACCCAGTGGCGGACCACTCTGCCACCATTAGGACCCTGGGCTGGGTGCAATAGGGTGGGCCTGAGTCCCCCTACCCACTGCCATCCCAACCTTAGGGTGGCAGCCTCCCCAATCTAGGACATGAGGCCTGTGTTTGTCGGCAATCTGCCAAAGCTAGGATGCCCCACTGTTTGTTCTTGCTCTGTCCTGACTGCAGGCCAGAGCCCTCTGTTTGCGCTTTGCCTTGCCTAAAGGCCTGGGCTTATAGACTTTGCTGCTCTGCCTTGACTGCATGCCAGAGCCCCTTAATGGGTGGTGCTCCGCCCTGCCTGAGGACCTGGGCACCTAGATTTGTTGCTGCTTGGCCCAGTTTAGGTGGCCTCAGCTTTAAAGACATTTAATTCCCCTCTGAGTGAGCGCACAAGGGTGCGATTACGAGAAGGCATGGCTTCCCTCAGAAATTGACAGAGGAGGACGGCCACTCACACTTACAGGAACACACAGATAACACATGGATTGAAGCAGGCACCATTACCGGCACAGCCGACAAGCATTGCTTCATACCTGCACACGCAATTTGTGAGACACTCACTCCTGACTTCTGCAACATACTTCCTGCTGTACACGCATTAACAGAATGTGACACTGTGTCATCCTTATTTGGTATGGGGGGGGGGGGGAGGAAATCTGTGTTTAATGTCAAAACAAAGGGAGCTTACTACTTCAGAGATCTTGCCAAATTGGGAGAGAGTGATGGACAAGGCACAATTGCTGCAGCAAGGAAGTTGGTAATAGTGCTTTATGACCAGAGCAAGAAAGAAAAGGAGACCCACAGAGGCTTGAATTGCTTGAGCTTCAATCTGTCTGTCAAAAAAGACAAGTTAATGGCTAAACGCTCACCATGTGAGGGCATTTTTTAAGTGCATGTCTAAAGAGCATCTTGGCAAACAAAGATTTGGATGTCCTTGGCATATAGGTAAACCAGATATTGGATCTCCATTGCAACATGGATGGAAAAATGTGGATGACAAACTACTTCCTGTATTTGTCAAGGACCCAATGGCATCTGAGCTTCTACAAGACCTTATTTGTGCCTGTACCTATAGAGGTTACTGGACAATCAACTGTCTGTAGTCAGAACAATCTTTGTTGCACAGAATTGGGTACATGCCAGGCAATGAAGACTGTGGTAACCCAGGAACTCTCGACAGAGATCATAATGAAGAACAAGATGATAATTATGTTGACTAGAAATGTCACAAGTGCTATTACATTTCAATGATACCGGTACACATTTATTTATTAGCTTCTGGTTTACCTTTACATTGTTGTTGTGATGTTTTGAGTTCTCAAAGAAATCCAATTTTATGTCTTGAAATAATACATAGTCATTAAACTAACAGAAACGAATGCAAATATTTCAAAGTGGTCATTTTATCAACTTGATGGGGTCATTGTTTATTTCTATGGTAATGGCCCCACTTGACAGCACCACATCATACATCATATTAAAGTAGGCATAATAAGCTTTCAAATGATGTATGGTGTGTGTGTGTACAGAGAAGTTACATTGAGTTAGCCAAATCAGTGGTGTCCGCTACTAATCTACTTCTGCTCACTGAACAACTACTGTAGTTGGTGGCTCATTAAGAGGGGGGACTTGATCTACAGGTTGTGGAGATTCTGCATCATGGCATGTGTTGGACAGGAGGGTCAGAGAGGGTCTAACGAAGGCAGTGTTTCACAACCAGGGTCATGAAAGGCAATCGGGGAAGGGTGGAGGCTGTTGCAAGGTGTTGAAAATTTTATTGCAGTCTAAAGGAAAGAATCTTGCTCTCCCACTTGCTGCAGACCCTTCCCCTTGAAGGTCCAGTATTCTCTGTCAACCTCCCAACACCCCCTATCCCCCAATACATTTTATATGTTTATAATTGATACATTTTTTTTTACTCTTAATCTAGAGAAAATGTAAGGGGATTGTGAAAATATTGGACTTCAAATAAGGATTTGCAAACTCTAGTGGCCTTAAAAATCTTTGAATTACGTAGCACTGATTTAGGGTCTTTCCAGGGATTCTTGGAATTTTTAATATTTCTCAAGAACAGAAGCTTTTATTAAAAAAAAAGTCAAGAAAAATGTAGATTCTAGCATTTCTGGTCCTAAGGAAAACCTTCTGCAGTGCTGTCTTCCCCAAACTGTAGCCAGACTGAAACAATATGTCAGGGGCCTGATCCAGCAAGATTCAGTGAGTACCTTCAGTAACAGACCCTAGTAGAAGCATAGCACAATACCAATGATCTCAACGGTATGTTCATACTGAAACACCACCACCATTAGCTAATGTGAACACTAGCTGTTTCACTGTGGATCACTTAGTCGTGGCATTTGGCTAATATGCTTTATCCCTTTAATAGTTACATTCAGTTGGATCATTCCCTATACATAAATATAACAAATTCCTGTCCTCAGCCACATTCACAGCTTCTCCATTCATTTCAGGCTCCATTTCCACTCTCCTAAGCCATCCATCACACTTATTTTTAAGTTTTTCTTTTTGTGGAAAGGGAAAAATCTGTCATAACCACTTATTTTATATCAGGAACAAAAAGAATCCTAACAAGAGTATTGGTGCCTTACTATATGTAAATGGCAGAATTATCAGTAATAATAAAGAAAAGGCAGAAGTGTTCTGTATTTGGGAAAAAACAATGCAGTTATATGTAACACTCTTTCTATTCCACTAGTATCTCAGAGGATGTTAAACAGCAGCTACTAAAGTTAGACATTTTAAAATCAGCAGGTCTGGCTAACTTGCATCCAAGAGTTTTAAAAGAGCTGTCTGAGTAGCTCACTGGACCACTAATGTAGATTTTTAGTAAGTCTTGAAACACTGGGGAAATCCTAGAAAACTGAAGGAAAGCTAATGTGTCAATATAAAAAAAAAGGTAAATGGGAAGATGAGGAAATTATAGGTCTGTCAATCTTCAGCCACTTTCTTTTGCTGCTATTAGGGAACAGTAAGACTTTTGGGACACAGTTTGTATGAACAACAATGCTGACATTTTCAAAAGTGACTAGTGATTTTGGGTACCCAAGGCAACACCTTAATGGGACTACTTTTGGGGACAAGGCTGAATGCACCTATGGCAGACATTCAAATGGGGGAGGAGAGATTCTCATCCAGTTCCTGGTGGAAGCAAAGAATGACTGCAGTTCGGGATCAGTACATTTGTGAGATTAGAATGGGAACACAGCATCAGTTCTGGAGAGGTACAGGATGCCACAATATCGTGGAGAATACTAGCAATGGGTCCAAGCCTGGTAGAAGTCTCCCTAATGTAAGGATATAGGATAGTCGGTCAATGTTTGTTCACCGGTACAAACAGCAAACTCAATTTTTTGTAACACTTCAAGAGAACTCTTTCTTAAACAGGCAAAAAAATCCATAGAAACAAGGACAAATATTTTAAATGGACGCTCTCCTAGGCCTGACAGCACAAGCGTGTTACTGCCTCTGACTAAGCAGTCCATAGCTTCAGTAACACGGTGCGCATTTCATGGCTTGCACTTTTTCTCAGGATCACCATTCTTATGGCACCTCTTGCTTTTTGCCCTTGCCAGCCTCCTATCATTGGGAGTTGGTTGCTGTCTTAAAAGCCCATCATTATCGCTATCTCTACATTCAGATTTTCTGTGTGTGGGTGTGTGTGTATATTTACAACACAACATATTTGATCACTTTCGTTCTAGATTAAATCGTGGAATAATTTTTTCCCCATTTGGCTTTGAGGATGGAACAGACATCTCAAGAGGTATTTTGTTTACCACAGAGTTTTTTTGAGCTAGAGGTATTAACACCTTCCATATTATTGCCAATTTCACCCCTACCCAGTACCACCAAGCTTTTGTCTGAACCAGCATCACTTTTAGAGGAGGATATATTCATTGTAGTTTTCCCTTTCACAAAGAATGCTTTAGGAAAACTCGGTGGTCAGTTCTTTCCCCATTCTGACAATTCTGCCTCCCCGCATCTTCCTGTGCAGAAAATCTGAACTTCCTTCATGTCGTGACTTTATAACTAAAAATCACAGCACGTTACTACTCTTAGGCTATGTCTACACTACAGACCTTACAGCGGCACAGCTGTACTGCTGCACCTGCACAGCTGTAAGGTCTCCTGTGTAACTGCTCTATGCCAACAGGAGAGAGCTCTCCCCGTCGGCATAATTAAACAACCCCCAACGAGCAGTGGTAGCTATGTTGGCACGAGAGCGTCTCCCACTGACATAGCACTGTCCACATAACTCCTGTTGGTGTAACTTATGTCGCTCAGGGGAGTGTTTTTTCCCTGCACCCATGACTAGCAAAATGTTTATTGACAAAAGTGCTAGTGTAGACATAGCCTTAGAAATATACATCACGAACTCCTCACCATAACAATTGACAATTCCAGATTCATGGGGGTTTAAGTTAAAAACAGATTTATTCAAGGGGGAAAAAAACAGAATTATGAAATTAAAATTCATATTAAAGTTTAAGAACACATTTAGTTTCAAATTAAAGTTGGACAAATAGCTTAATTTTTTTTCGATGCATGTCATCCTCCTCCTGTTCACCAATTGTCAATTAGCAGATCACAGTTAAAACAAATTCATCCTACATACTAATTACACCTTTATAATTTTCATAAAGTGCCACCCACAAGGGCACTTGAGCAAGCATCTTTCTGAGAGAAATGTCTATTAGGATGTTAATTGACTTGCTCTCATGGACTAAGTTGTCAAACAGCAGCGTATTTGTCACAGACACATTAATTTCACTACCATTTATTCAGCAAGTACAGTTCCAAGGATATGGCCCAAGTACTATCACAATGTGGGGTTGGGGGAGTGGGGTTAAATAAATATAATCGATAGGAACGAATATCTAAAAAATGTACCAGAAAGTGGGAAACAGGAGCTTGGGTTCTGAAGGGAGCCACAAGGCCAGGGTGAAGTCGGGCCAGGATGCCAAAGCCTGATCAATGTACTGAGAAAGTGTTATGATTTGATCCATGTTTTACCCTTATCACTATTAAAAATAAAAGGCCATGATTCTCCTGAATACTTAACTCTTCCCAGTTTCCTCCTATTGTGGTGCTTCATACCCATTCCCAAACAATGGCTCAAACCATCATCACACTGAGGACGTGCTCCCTCCCCACATCACACCGCAATGCTCAGCTAGCCTTCTCCCTACAGGAGGGCCGTATTCCCCCTCTTCCCAGCAATGGTGGTCCCTACTGTGCGTGGTGTTTCTGGTGCCGCACAAGCTGTGGCTGGAAGCGGAAGCACTTCCCGCACTGAGCACAGTGGTAGGGATTCTCTCCCGTGTGGATCCTCTGGTGTTTGATCAGATTGGAGTTCCCACTGAAGCACTTCCCACACTCAGTGCATTTGTAGGGTTTCTCCCCGGTGTGGGTCCTGCTGTGGTTGATCAGATCGGAGCTCTGGCCAAAGCTCTTCCCACACTCCATGCACGTGTAGGGCTTGACGCCGTTGTGGATCCTCTGGTGCTGGATGAGGTGTGAGCGCTGGCTAAAATTTTTGCCACACTCAGGACATTTGTACGGCTTCTCTCCCGTGTGCATTCTCTGGTGTTTTATACATGTGGAGCTATCACTGAAGATCTTCCCACACTCAGTGCATACATAGGGCTTGTGTCCTGTGTGGATCCTCTGGTGTTTGATAAGGTTGGAGCTCTGGCTGAAGCTCTTCCCACACTCGTGACATGTGTAGGGCTTCTGGCCCGTGTGGATTCTCCGGTGCTGAATAAGGTGCGAGCTCTGGCTGAAGCCTTTCCCGCACTCTGTGCATTTGAAGGGTCTCTCCCCCGTGTGCATTCTCTGATGCTGGATCAGGTGTATGCTTCGACTGAAGCCCTTCCCACATTCAGAACATATGGTTGGTCTCTCTGATCGGGGTGTTCGTCGGGGGATGACGTCCTCTCGTTGCTCCTGGAGGTCTCGTTCGCCATGAGTGGATTCAGTTGGTTTCCTCTCTGAAGGGTCCTCTCTCTGTGGCATTGCTGAGTTGTGCTGACTCACATGGGCTTTCCCCAGGTCAGGACCCTGGGATATGTCTCCTCCGGATCTCTCTGAAAACACCCGCTGCAGTTCCATGCTTGCAGAATCTTCCTGCTGAGGAATCTCCTCCTCTCCACTGTGATCGCCTGGCGAAGAGAAGATTATTCCAGACATGGTTATTCCCTGTGCTTGGGAGAAAGGAAGCCTTGGAAAGAGGACTTGCAAAGGACTCGTGACTACTGCTGAAGATCAGAAGTCAGGTCTTTCCCAAATAAGTGTGGAGGGGATGAGTTCAGCTTCTTAACACTCTTCTTAACACTCAGAGTACAGGTGAGGGTAGACAATACTAGCAGAAGTGAGTCAGAAAGGGCAGAAAGCCATCCTTGATATTTGCCCTGGAGATAGTTTTCTTACATTGTAACCAGTTCTCCTAATTACAAAACGGAACAAAATGACATGAGGCAGAACCATGAGCTCACAGTAGCTATTGGAATTCCAACTTCTTTTACTTCACTCATTGAGTGTTTCCAAGTTGGTTCAGCTTATTCCTCACCTGTGGGGCTGTATTTCAAGATCTCTGTTTCCTTGAAAGCCTGGTGACCTGAGTCAGATAGTTCTTTGACTTTTTCCATTTGGGAGGCCATGTCACATTTAGGAATTGGAAAACCTGCTCATGAGAAAGAAAACATCATGGCTTGTTAAATATTCAACCAATGCTTGTCACAAACGATGTTTTTAAGCCCAGCTGCTCTAATGGGGAGGGGAGGGAGCAAAGCAGTAGTCTGGAAGGCATGAGTCACCTGAATGGTTGGGAAAGTGTTCCAGGATACCGTTTGGGAGATAACGGTTCTGATGGTAGATGTGTTTTATCCATGTAAGAGATTCAAGGATCCCTCTTAATGGGAGAATAATATTATATACAAAGCCAGCAAGAGATCCCCGATTCCCTTTTTAAGTTGGTGCCAGTCCCAGGTAGAAGTGCATTGCAAACCCAGGAATTTCCAGCAACGTTTGTATGCTCAGGCATTAGAGACAAGGACAGGAGTGGGCTGTCAACGGCACTTCTGAAAATCCTTCTAAATGGGAGGTGAGAGTCGCACCCAGGTTCTGAGGATTAAAGGGTCTGATCCCCCCAGGAAAGAACCTTGTGCTGGAGCAAATGAAGTCACTTCAGAGATGCTCATAAAAAAGGTGACTCCTTACCTAGTGAGATGAGATTCTGGTAGTTCTCCTGCATGACATCCCTGTTGAGTTCCATCAGCCCTTTGCCATAAAGCCCTGCTAGGACAGCACAACCACACCATAAAATGCCAATGGTACCTAAAACAAGCATTCTCCATTCAGTATTTGCTGCTCCAAGGACAATCCCACTGCTAAGTAGCAAGGGGTAGTGAGAGGAGCAGGAGGGGCACAGGAACTGGGAGTTGCTGCAGAGAAGAACAGATGAGACACAATGGCAAGAAAAAGGGAAGGAGGGAAACCTCAAAAGTCCCAAAGAGAGAAAGGAGGATGGGGAAGGAAGAAAACCAAAGGGAGGAGTGGGCAGTCCTATGGCTCACCATGACCATAACATGTTATAACTAAAACGTACCCTGTCTACAGTAGTATTTTTTAAAAAGCATTAGAGTATCTCCTAGGAGATACAGCTCCACTACTGGCTGGATCCAAAGGCTGTAACTGCTGGGACTGCTAAAAAAAAAATTAGTTAGGGATGGACAAACACCCCAACATTCAGGCAATACTTGTATTCAGAGGCCGTATTATTGGATATTAACAAGTATATAAGCTTACAATGGAAATACCATGAATGAAAATATAAGCAATCAGGCAGCAGCAGAGAGGAGGGGCTGCCCATCATACTCAACCTTCAACAGTGCTACAGCAGCAGAGAGATCCACAGTAAGCTAATTGGCCAACCTGGAGCAGGCAAAGAGAATGAAGTGTCACTCTCTTCAGGGGAGGCAAAGATAGTGAATCATATGGCTCCCCCGCTCCCCCCTTTCTTTAATACTCTTGTGTGCCACTGGCAAAGCATATTCTAGGGTGTTTTCGTTCTGTCCTGAGCCAGGAGACCAAGGAGAGAGTAAGAGTTTGTAAACTTTCCCCCACTCTCATAGCTGGAGTTTTAATAAATGTTTATCATTTTGCTTTTAATTCCACTCAGCTACGTGTACTTTTTATGGCTCAGCCAAGATATTTTTGGTTTATAGGGATTACTCTACTGTGGAGATCCATGTTTTCAGCAAGCCATTTTCTATCCTTAGGAGCCTGGAATCTGCAGGAGAATGGACAGCGTAACATTTCCATTCTCCACACTGTGAACCCTGGGGACTACAGAGCAAAGCTTAGATTTTGAGGAAGCAATCCAATTATAGTGTGTATATTTTTCCCAACACTGAATAATGCTCACTTTCTGCTCCCACTGAAAGAGATTTTTGCCATAGGGAAAAGTACACCTGATATAATGCTGTCCTCGGGAACCAAAAAAATCTTATTGCGTTATAGGTGAAACCGTGTTATATCGAACTTGCTTTGATCCGCCAGAGCGCGCAGCCCCTCCCCACCCGGAACGCTGCTTTACGGCGTTATATCGGGTCGCGTTATATCGGGGTAGAGGTGTATATCCTTCAATAGGACAAGTCTGCCTGGCAAGTATTACTCTTGTATTTGGGAGACAAGGTGAGCAAGGTAGTATCTTTTAGTGGACCACTTTCTGTTGGTGAGTGAGACAAGCTTACACAGAGCTAGACTCAGGAGCAGCAGGTCTCTACTCTGCACCATCCCTTTTCATTCTAGCCTCCATTACTGGCTACTAGGGAATTCAGTCTCATTTATGCAGCAAGCTGATATCTCTAGATCCTCTAGTCCCACGCTGCTTGCAGAATGAACTCCCACGGTTTTGTAAGGATGGAAGGCTATAATTCAGCAAGGGGGTGAAGCAGGGGGTATGAGACATTCCAGAATTGCAATTCCCCCGTCAGCTGAGTGGGGACAGTGGAACATAGAAGCAGCAGCTTGCTAGGTCAGGTGGAGTGCTAGCGGATGCTAGGGTGAGATGCTGAAGGAATGGGGTGGAAGTAGCCTGCTGGAAAATGCTAGGGGGATAGGATGCAAGAATAAGAGGATTGTGGGGATGCTAGACCATGCTGCTCGACCAGAAAAGGGTGCATAATCGGGGGAGCAATCCTGCTGTATTGTGGCAGGAGGGTGGTGCCTGAATTGGGGGTTCAAACGGAAATCTGCAAAGGGACAGGAGGACAGATGGTCCCTGGAGCAGGGGGACAAGCCGTGTAAAGGTGGAGGCTGCAGGAGGGAGTGGGGACAGGAAAGGCTAATGGAAAACGTCAAAAGGGGTGCAAGAATTGAGGGTCACACTCCTGGTCTGTGCCTCAGGAAAGGGGCACAGAAACAGGGGGGCATCCTTGGGAGCACCGTGGAGGAAGGGTAATAAATAGAAAGGAGCGGGGGGGGGGCGAGAGAAACGTCCCTCATTTTTTCAGCTGGGTTCTGGATAAATTCCCACTCTGGAAAGGTCACAGGGGCCAGTTTGCAGGTCGCTGGGCCACTCTCAGAAGTCCCATCCTGAAAACACAATGTGTTTGCTAGAAGTCACATGGCTTCGAAGCGCAGAGTGATTTTTCATGGGGCGGGTCTGCAGTGGTTTTTGAATGCTGGCCGTACAGGCTGCCTCACCCCATGAGAGCCAGCCTCGGGAGCCAATGCCGGCACGCCTCCCCCTGCGCGCCTTCAGCTCCGCCACGGGCGCGCTTCCACGGCCCCATTTTACCTACCTGCAAGAACACGCCGACAGGGATTGCAGCCTCCAGTCCCGGGCTCGCCTCTGGGAGAGAGGATGCGCTGTAGCCTCGCAGATCTCACTCACACGGCAGATTGCAGCTTCCTGCTTGGAGACTGGGAGGGCAAAGGACGCTTCCGGGGAGGAGCCAGGAGCGAGCCTGCGGGGTAATATAATACCTCAGCGCTGCTAAGGGAGGGGATCTACCCCGCCAGGCAAGGAGCGGATACGGCCAGGTGTCAAAGCTTCTGGGAGACACATCACACCATGGCAGCCACGGCTCCAGGCACGTTAGAGGGAAGCATGGTCCGGGAAGTAGTGAGGGCCAGCCACAGCAGCCATCTTAGCAAGGGGGGGGTGGACACCCCCAGGAATATTACTGAATTTTCAGGCTGTGCCCAGCGTGGAAACATGATGGTGGTGGAAGCCATTCCTTGCAAAGTTGCCAGCTCTCTGGTATGCTACTTAAAGCCCCAGCTCCTGGAGTCAAATGATTGCAAATCTCAGTTTATTTGTATTTTAAGATTAAAAAGTTTCTAGCCCTCACAATTGTGGAGGAGAGCTTGACTGTATAACCTGAATGTGTCATAAAGGCTCAAAAATCCCAGGGGAAACAAATAACCCCCAAACTTATATATTTTTAAAACCATGCTTTGTAAGGCAATTTTGTGATATTTTAAGAAACATTTTGGGTCTAGAAGACTAAGCTCTTTGGGACAGGCTATTTGTTCTGTCTCAAAAAAAACTGCAGCCAGTCAGCAACAGGCATTTCTGCAATCAGCTCTTGATGTTTTACAGAATGATGGTGGGAGGCTAGGTGTTGATAGTCACCTCACACAGAATAGCAAACAGCTGCATTGCCCTCTGTGTGCAATAGGGCTTTGTATGTATGTGGTATCAGAGGGGTAACCGTGTTAGTCTGTATCCACAAAAACAATGAGGAGTCTGGTGGCACCGTAAAGACTAACAGATTTATTTGGGCATAAGCTTTTGTGGGTAAAACCCCCCACTTCTTCAGATACATATGTATGCAGTGTTGTGGCTATGTCAGTCCCAGGGTATTACAGAGACAAGGTGGGGGAGGTAATATCTTTTTTTTTTGGACCAGCTTCTGCTGTTGAGAGAGACAAGCTTATTACCCACGAAAGCTTATGTTCAAATAAATTTGTTAGTCTCTAAGGTGCCACAAGTACTCCTGTTCTTTTTGCGGATACAGACTAACACAGCTGCTACTCTGAAAGCTTTCAAGCTTACACAGAGCTCTTCTTCAGCTCTGGGAAATGTACGTGTAAGCTCAAAAGTTTGTCTCCGTCTAATATGTTAGCACACCCACCTGGTTTCTCCAGTACGACTTTGTCACAAAGTCTGGCAGTCTCCTTCTCTTTCTCTCATTTAAACCCCTTTCCTTTCTGTGCACTTCTCCCCAACACCCATCCCAGGGAGGTAGGATGGGACTTTGATCACTTTTGGGTCTAGGCATTTTTAGTATTTAAGGAATAGGTTGTGTGAAAGGCATATTTGAGAGAAAACAGCATGTCTAGAAGGTTGGAACAGGGGATTAGGAATCTGGAGATAAGGCAGTCTTTTGCTCTTTTATACTTGCTTTACAGTCCCTTTAAATTGTCCAAAATTATTATTTGAAGGAAAAACATTGCAGAAGATAATATTATGCCTGCAGTGCCTTTAGCTGAGCTCCCTCAAGCTTTAAAAATTTTAAGCCTCACAACATCCCTCTGAGGTAGAGGTGTTATCCCCATTTTACTGATGGGGAAACAGAGGTACAAAGAGGTTACGTGATGACTAGTCAGAGATTACACAAAGCAAGTCAATAGGAGAGCCCAGAATAGAATTTAGTACTCTTGACTTCGAGTCCAGTAATACAGCTGTGTACCAGGTTTTATATCTAGAGATTTTGAAAGTTTCTATGGAAAGGTTGGTGAGATGTTTTTCAGCAAAAGAAGTTTCAGAGTAGCAGCCGTGTTAGTCTGTATCTGCAAAAAGAACAGGAGTACTTGTGGCACCTTAGAGACTAACAAATTTATTAGAGCATAAGCTTTCGTGGACTACAGCCCACTTCTTCGGATGCAAATGCATATGCATTCGAAGAAGTGGGCTGTAGTCCACAAAAGCTTATGCTCTAATAAATTTGTTAGTCTCTAAGGTGCCACAAGTACTCCTGTTCTTTTAGCAAAAGAAGTGATACTCAGTGCAGTCAAATGATAAATTTGATACAAAATTTGAGACTGAAATCAGTGTATAAGGGCTGGTCTACAATGGGAAATTGACTGGAATAGGTATTGCAAAATAAGCTATTCTGTGATAGTGCCCCCGTGAATACTGTTCTGGAATAAAAATCACTTTATTCCAGAATAATTACTCTGTGGAAATGCACTAGTTATTGTGGAATAAAATTGACTTTTATTCTGGAACATAGCACGGTGGATTGATTTAAAACAAAGCAATTTAAATCACCAATTTTACTCATGATTTAAATCAGCAAGCAGGAAACCTTGATTTAAATGATCAATTTTAATCTTGGTTTGCATTTGTACCTTAGTTATTTTCCTAAAGAAAAGCTGATTCTCATTGGTTGTTAACCATTAAAACACGTTTATTTGCAACTCTATATAGTCTTTACATTAAATTTGGTGGTACGTTTTGCTAGCCAGGAGGATACACTATATATAGGTGCACACACATTTATTAAGCAATTATAGAGCTTAATATGGTTATTCACATTCTTCATTTTCTAACATAAATGTAAAAATTGTGAATGATGGATTTTGTATTTACTGGATATTATTAATTTTTACTTGTGAATTCTGGATGGAAATAGAAATTCAATTAAAATGTGCAGAAAAAATTAAATGAAGTATATCTACAGTTAGTGAATTGAAGTGATTGTATCTGGTCACCTTATCCTTCAAGATTTTAGAACTACCTGTAGTAGATCTCACCTTCTCACAACTTGTTTTTATTCACAGACTGAAAGAGGAAAACAAGCTTCCAGTTTTTTCCACTCCTAAGAAACCAACTGAACCTGTTGAATAAACTGAAAAAGAAATTACTCTCTGCACCCACAGAAGAGACTACTGTTGTCAAAAGGTAGTTTAGCACTTCAACAAATTCTGATTCCAGATGCTTAGCCAGTTTGACTGTCTTTAAAACTTTGGTAGCAAACATGTACTGCTTAATTTTTTAATTTAATTTAAGTGTTATTAATAGATTACAGTAAATCTCAGCCTTAACATAGGTTGTCATAATGTCAAATTTAATTTTAAATAGGTTCATTTTAAAATAAAATCTTTGATTGTTTTTTAAAATCCATTTTTATACACCCTGTAATAGAATGTCCACAGGGAGAGCTATTCTGGAATGTCTAGTCCAGTCAATTTCCACATGTAGACAAGCTCTAAGTGAGAAAAAGTTGCTGGGCATGATACATTTTAATTGTATGACATATGAGAGAAAACACCTGTTGTGACGGTGACTACCTGAATTTTCTTTGTTTTGTATAAAAGTACATAAAGGGAAGATGCCTTCTGTAGATTGAATGTGGAATGGCTAATTTAATTTCCTGGGCTTGGGATGCTGCTAGAACAGGGAGGAGAGAGGGTTTGACTTTTGGCGGGTGGAGGTTGAGTGAAGGCTACTGGGAGGAGAAAGTCTGGACCTATACTACTACTTTCATGTTAACAATGTCTCTTCCTCTCCTAATGTAGTTTGCCTCTCGCCATGTTACTCGGCCTGATTCCCTCCTCTCGGCCAAGCAGCAGCAAGGGACAAGAAGAGCACAGCTGTCAGTGAGTTTCTGGCGTACTGGTTGCTTAGTGGAGATGGGCAGGTAGTATGAAGGTCTGTGGGGTTAACTATCAAATATACTTTTCAAAATATTTTTACTGTCCACAGTTAAACACAAGCCAGAGGTCACCAAGACTATTAAACAGTATTGAAATAGATATGGCCCTTGCACAGTAGTAGTAAGAGCATCAGCCCTCTGTTTTCAAAATATGTCCCATGTTAGGGTAAGTGTGATGGGCTGTACCAGGCATTCCCTGCCCCCTGCCAGAGATCCTGCTCCTTTGGCACATGCTGCCCTAAGAAACTGTCCTTTACTTAAAAAAAAAAAGGGGGGGGGGCAGCGAGTCTGGACCTACAGAGGCCTTCCAGTATCAGCTACTGGGGGGACAATTGAGACTTGGTCCTCTAACAGCAAGAAGGGCCAGGAGCAGGCAGAGGTCACTCAGGGATCAGCAGGTTAGATAAAAAAGGCTGGTTGCTTCTGCCAGGGCCTAATTCTAGGTGAAACTAGGATAGGGGAGTAAAGGCACTTTCTCCTGTCTGATCCCAAGAAGCCAGGCTTGGAAGAGCCTAATTATGATTGCACCTTTGGGTTTAAATCACTGAAAGACTTTTTGTTTTATATTATGCAGTGTGAAGCCCAGGTGGGCCAGTCTTTGTCATTAATTTGACTGCTGTAATATTAGATGAGCTTAGTTTGTAAGATGCTCCAATGACTCAATGAGCCCATGACAAGAAGTTAATAGACAAAATTCGAATACATATGTGCAACCCCATTATCATCATTGGGTGACACGAATACAAGCAAGGGCATCTGGCACAAGGAGTACAATCCAGGCGCTATTGGGAAACCACTGAACACAAGTGTGTTGGGTCTTACGCCTGTTTGTGTAATCTACTAAATGCAAAATTCTAATGTACTCAGAACTTCAAAGGGATAAGTTTGGAAGAAATAAACTTAAAAAAAAGTTTTAATTGTTTAACTACCATATAATCAACTACATAACTCAAATTATCAAAAATTTGGTGTTTATACAATATGTATCCCTGTGATACATAGGCGCTGACTCCATGGGTGCTCCGGGGCTGGAGCACCCATGGGAAAAAATGGTGGGTGCTGAGCACCCACCAACAGTCCCATCAGAACCTCCCCCTCCCTCCAGCGCGTCCTGCCCGCTGGCGGGCACCGCCAATCAGTGCTTCCCCCCTCCCTCCCAGCACCTACCGCCTGCCGCGAATCAGCTGTTTTGCAGCATCTGGAGGCACTGGGGTGGGAGGAGCGAGGATGTAGTGTACTTGGGGGAGAGGGTGAGCAGAATCTGGAAATTGTCGTAAGAACGGCCATACTGGGTCAGACCAATGGGCCATCTAGCCCAGTATCCTGTCTTCTGACAGTGGCCAATGCTAGGTGCTTCAGAAGGAATGAAGAACAGGGTAATTATCACAGGATCCATCCCCTGTCATCCAGTCCTAGCATCTGGCAGTCAGAGGCTTAGGGACACCCAGAGCATGGAGTTGCATCACTGACCATCTTGGCTGGTAGCCATTGGTGAACTTATCCTCCATGCCAGGGGAAGCATGCTGTATTAAGGATGGCATATGATGCCTGCTTATACCACTACGGGAGCCTGTTTATAAATTAGTTTCTCTCAAAACGGACAATTCATAATCCATCCATCCTTCAGTGACGTGACGTCCCTTTTCTAATACAGCGAATGTCTAAGAAAACCATCACCTTCTTTTCTGGATTCGAGGTACCACTCCTTATCCCTTTCTTTCCTTCTCTGAGTGTAAAAAATCCCCCCAAAACCCCACTGACAGATGACCATATGTGCACCACACTGCAGCGACGTGGGACAGGTCTGAATGTTAAGTGCTCTCTGTCTTCATCTGCTTAAAAAATAAAAATCAGCACCTTTCTTTCATTCCATTCCCACCACACACAAATGAGTGGTGTCCTGTTACTGCCTGACTCCCCACTACTTGTTCTCTGTGCCTGTGTGAATACACAATTCACGGTCTGCAAAGCATGAATTTGGGAGTGGTGACAGCCAGAAGCAATTTGTAATGGAATCAGTTTCCAGTTCTATTAGGGAGTGATGGTAATCTCTATAGAGAAAGCAGAAACTGGGGTTCCATCATTAGCTCAATTTTGGCATCCAGGCCAAGAATTCACAAAAAAGTCAAATTGGCCTCAAAATTAGGAGGTTTGATCAGCGATTGAGGAAGACTATTTCTACCAAGTTTGAAGCAAACTGGACAAGCGTCTCCTGAACTTTGGATCCAGTCATTGAGGCCAGAGAGAGTGAAATTACTCTGTAGACTAGTATTAGGGCAGCCACCGGTAGGTGGGAGACACTGGGTCCAGGCTCCCTGCTCCAATCACTTTAATTATTTATCCACAGTGGAACAGCTTCCACAGGAGAGACAGCAGAATATCCCATAGCCAAGTGGTTAGAGCACTCTCCTGAGGTAGGAGACTCCTGTTCAAATTTTCTCCCCCCAGCCTGCCTGAGGGGGGAGAACTAAACCTAGGTCTCCCACATCCCTGGTGAGTGCTCTAATCACTGACCTGAAAGTTGTAAGGTGGGCACCACCAATACCTCCTCCTCTGGCCATTTTGTGTAGAGCGAGGCAGGAGCCTAATGCATTCCCTCAAGAAGCAGCTTAGGTGCCTACGCAACTTGACTCTATGTGGCTGGTTCCTGTTCGTGGATCGCTAAGCACATATAGGCGCTTCCCTGCTCCCTGGACTTAGGTGTCTCAGAGAAGGGTGAAGCTTAGTACACACACTTCTGGTCAGCATTTCCCTTTGGCTAGATTGAGTCCACATCTAGCTTGCTAGCGTTTGTGGATTGTATTTTTAGGCACCTAGCTCTCCTCAGTCATTGTACAGGGAACCAAGGTGCCTAATTCAGGCTATGTGGATCACAGTGTTGTTCCTGTATTTTTTTTCTAGGCGCCTAAAAGTTAGGTGCTGTGACACTCAGTATTACAACATCTAAGTCCCTTAGTGGATCCCACCCTGAGTCTCCTATGCTGTTTCCTTAAAGAAAATCTTCAAAGTTCAACCCAATCATTAGCGTGGTTTGCAAATGGAAGAAGAATTTCTCTCTCCAAAGGCTTGCAGGGTGGACAGATGAAACTTGAGACCTGTGGATGGGTGGGACAGGGAATGGATTAGGTTTGTGGTGAAGGAGGCCTAGCTATCAGGCCTTCCTGTGAGAAGGTTGTAGGGCATCTGGCAAGGGTTAAGGTTCTGTTTGCAGGATGCGGGACAGTGGAATAAGAAGCCTGGCCAATAAAGGGATTTTTGGGGTTCTGGAAATGGGTAGGAGAGGGATCGGAATGGATCAGGGTTGTAGAGGAGGTCTAGATATCACTCAGGCCTTTTCAAGGAAGGGTTGTAGGAGCTAGAATTAGGTTCTAGGGCTGACGGGGATAAATAGCATAAATCAGATTGTGCCACAGTACAATGGAGATCAGGAGACAAGGGAAAGCAGAGGAAACAAGAAAGAGGAAGAATGATGGAGACAGCCAAACAAAGGCAGAACTGTACTAAATGACTCCTAAGGTGCACTGCAGGAAGGGGCAAGAATGCTCCCTCGTTCACTTCCAAACCCAGTTCACACCTCTCTGTGGTTCTTGTTTGAGAAATGTAACTTAAGTCTGTGGTTCTTTGGGAGGAGAGAAGAGGAGTGAAAGAGACAAGAGACCGAGGGACCCTGAGAAGGAGTAAGCAGCCAAGGGAGAAGAGATAATGGGATATGGAGAGAGTATAAAGAGAATCTAAAATGGATAGTTCTGCCAACCGTGTTTACTTTTGCAGGCTAATCAACTCTGTGAAGGGAATAGTGGTTAAATTCTTGGATAAAATTTCAAGGACTCATGCACAAAGATATAACAAATAAAATTCTGCTATAGATCATGGGATGTGGTAGCAGGGCAGCAGCTTTTTTCCTCAGAAGACCAAAATTAGCTAACTGTACACCCACCCCCTTTATTTTATTTTATTTTATTTTGCTTTACCACTTCAAGACACCTATCCTACTGCCATCCATGACCACCATGGGAGAATCAGACAGCTAACTTATTTTTAATCTTTGGTAAATCAAATCGTTCTCTTTTCTAATAGAGACGTTAAGCTGTTTTTTTTTATTAGAAATGGTGTTTGTGACTGTATAATGAAACTGATTATCAGGTTTGTTTCCATGATTCAGGGTAAGAATCATGACATTTTCTTTTTGCTATTGCACATGGACAACGGGACACAGACCCGGCCATCGCACATCAGCTAACAAGATGAAAGAGAGCAGAGACATTATTATTAGAATCCCAGCTTTTTACTTCACTCGTTGCCTCACCTGTGCAGTCGACCATCAGCATCTCCATTTCCTCAGAGTGCTGGAGATCTGGGACAAATGGCTCTTCCCCTCTTTCCACCTGGGCTATCATCTCAGGCTTGGGAATCGGAAATCCTGGACATTGGAAAAGATATGTTAACAGCTGGCTAATGTTTGAGTGCTCGTCACAAAGAATGGTCATGATTTTTATAAGCCCACATTGTTTTACTAGAGGCAAGGGTGTAATCCAAGTAGAGAGAACATTGTCACGAGTCCTGCTGGAAGAGTAAGTAACTGTTGGGAGATGTGTTGTAATCTCTGAAGGAGAATCAGGGATCTCTACACCCAGGAAAATAAGACAACTGACACAGTGTAAAAAATTAAATCACTTGCCCATTTCTAAGCCTGCAGAGAGTCTCTGGTTTTGTATTCAGAATGAACCCTATGGCTCTTCCCACAGGAATTTTCCCTCTTGCAAAGACAAAGCCAGTCTTAGTAGGTAATACAATGGTGAGAGTAAGTGAAACAGATCTGTTACGTCATATCTAGGCTATCCCTCTATTCTATCCCAATAGAAAGCTCTGGGAATTAGCTCCACTGCTGTATTTCAGAATCGTCCTTTGAAAGGGAAGTGGTAGGGAGAGGATGGTCTGTTCTTGCATTGATTCTGGGTACCATAGGGACTGATTTTCTAGTTCTAAGGGAGCAGGGAAGGACACTGAGCAGAAGCTGACCATAGACACTTCAGAGACTGCAAAGCTTCTTACATATATGAGAGTTGTACCCAGGGCGATCAGAGTCTCATAATTTTCCTGCATGACATCCTTGTAGATTTCCCTCTGCTCTTCATCCAAGAGGCCCCCACTCTGCCTGGCAGAAATACAAAGCCACCTCATCGAAAGTCATCAGCATCTGAAACAAGAATTCCTACTCAGTGCCTGTTGGCCTGCAACAATCCGACCGCTCAGTCACAGGGCAGGGAGCAGAGGCAGAATAAGAAGTCCTTCCAACACTGTGGGTAGGATTCTTGTACTGTGCCTGCACAAGACACCACTATCATGGTGTGTCTGATGCAGGAGACAAGCAAGAAAATAAGTGGAAGAGGAACAGAATGAGTTTTTATTTTTATTTTATTTATTTTATTTGAACAATTTCCTCCCTTTCAGCCTTAGAATTATTAACCACTCCCTCCTTCCAACTGGGTTTTGGTTTCCAAGAAACCTAAATTCTCAACATGAAGTTAGTGGAAATCATTGAATTTCACCTGGTCTTGTATCGAACCCTGTGACAAGTGTGAATGGTGGAATCATAAGTCGGCCCAAGTACCTTTGAAAGGTTCATGAGCCTGTCGTAGAATTATTGAAGTTGGAAGTGAAACAGATCTGTAATGTCATGTCTAGTGTATCTAGGGTGACCAGATGTCCCAATTTTGGGGGTCTTTTTCTTATATAGGCTCCTATTTACCCCCCCCCCCAAATCCGGATTTTTCACATTTGCTGTCTGGTCACCCTAAGTCTATGCCAGAGCAAGATTGCTCCCTACAGAACAATAGTGCACCATTCAGTGTAGTTTTAAGTGTTCCAAGCGATGGTACCCCTGCCATTTCCCTTGGGACATTATTCCACATCCTAGTAGGTCTCTCAGAATGTCTTTTCTGATATTCATACTAAATTTCTCCCTTTTTTATCTCATCGCTCATAGAAATACTCCCCTATGCCTACCTAAATAATTCCTCTGCCTCCTCCGTGTTTGCACCCTTCAAATACTTGTAGAAAATTGTCTCCCCTCCAAAGTGGCACTTTTTAGCTTCCCTTGGTCATGGCCCGCCAGAGCCGTGAACATTTTTGTTGCTTTCCTCTGAACTCTAATTCCTTGATACCTTTCTGGTAATCAGGGACCGGATTCAGCTCTGTTGCCCAAGCTGAGCCAATCCAAGTGGGCTGTAAAGCTCCCTGCCACAGGAGTATCCCTGGCACGGGAAACCCTGTGTGGCAGCCTCGACAGCACCACTCTGTGCAAGGGATGTTTTGGGGCAGGCTGAGTGAAGGCAGAAAAGGGAACGGTTGGAATGCCCTCGTTATTTTGCATACGGGCAGCCACCCGGGCAATTGCAGTCAGGTGACAAGTTAGGGAAGACCTCAGGGTGCTGAACTGGCCCCAGGTCAGGCTGAGTGTGGCCTATAACAGAACTGACTGCAGTATTCCTGATGCAGCTGCATCAGAGACAGAGGGATTATTGCCTTCCTGATCTATGCCACTTTTGTGTGAGCGTGAGTCATTTATAATTGCACTGGCCTATTCTGCTACCATCTGATAGTCCAAATGTATGTCTTATTTGCTTCTTCTCACTTTATGGCTCTTTAGGCCTTTCTGTTTTCCAGGTTTCTCCCTCCCATTGAACACTGCAGTTTTGGTTATTCTCCCCTCCCAAGATCTATTTAACTTTTGTTTTTCCCCTTGAGTACTTCTATTTTCTCTAGTATTGGCAACACACCTGCCCCAGAGTGATTGGGATAGGGAATCACCCAACCAATCCACAGGGGGATAGCAGTAGGAGTCTCATGGACAGAAAAAAGATTGTTTCCAATTCCTTCCTGGAGCTCACCCCCATCCACCCCTATGAGGAGAGTGGCTGGAGAGGGCAGACAGTCTCTTGTCCCAAGATGAGTTTGGAACCTCCCCATCACATCTCTCCACAGGGAATGAAGGGTGAGGATCGATTTCACTTTGGATTTATTTTATGTTAATAACCCAGTCACCAAGAAGAGGTGTGGTTATTGGACATATGCCTCTAGGGATTATTCCTGGGAATCTGTGAAGGGGAAACTGAGGCAGAGTGCGGCAGAGCCATCCCTGGCCAGCAGAGGATGCTACGGAGGAGTTGTACTCTTTGACATCAAGTTTCATGAACATGCTGTTTACTCCTTCAAAATTTTTAATAGAGATGATAGATAAAACCAATTACCCATTCCCCACTAGACACCATTCCTCCCCTACAGGGCCTGGCCTGAGTTTCACATTTGTAACGAAATCCAGAGTCAGGGGGGGGTCTCTTAAAACTGTATGAAATGTCCAGAGTGACAGGAAAGAACATTAAAAAATGAAAGTGACAGCAAAAGGAGGACGAGTGTTAGATCTCATAATCATAGCACTCACAAGAAGGGAAAGGAATGATCTAATCTGTACCCAAGGGTATGAATGAGAGTAAAATGATGAAAGGGATAAAAGGCAAATTTAGGCTGACTATCCGTAATTGTTTATTAGACTGCAAATTAGCTTGCTAAAGGTAGTGGCAAAAGCCCCATCATTTGAAACTAGACAGGGCAAACCTTTAGAAAATACAGCCAAGTTTTTTTTTTAAGGTGCCAAAAATTAGACTATTAAATCCATACTTAGGCAACTAAGTGGCCTGATGTAAAATGCATCATGTAAAAGCTCACTATGTCACCCAGACCACAGGACAGATGTATACAGAATTACATGAGTTCATGCACAATCATCATTTTAGAACTGAACAGCTCAACAACATTTTGCTTGTATAAAGTAATTTAAAACTCAAGAATTTCTGACAGTAAATTAAGCCTCAATTCCTCTGTGAGTTTGGCAAGTATCTTCCCGAATGTACAGAGGGGAAACAGAGGCACAGGGAGATTAAGTGACTTGCCTAATATCACAGAATCTGTGGTAGAGCTGGGAATAGAATCCAGATGCCCTTTCTTCCAGTCCCACGTATTAACCACAAGACAACATTACTCTTCTACCTTTTGTTCCTGATGTGTAGGTCTACCAGACTGAGTAGGCCTTTTGCTTACCATATTTCCTCCCTCTGTGATCTTCATCTTCTCCAGATCAAACTGACAGTTTTCTTCCTGCTCCTCTGCTTCCATCTCTTGCTCCTGAGGAAGCAAGTCAGGAAAAACGACAGATTTAGAAGGGAACAGAAATGTGGATGAAACACATTTTGAACTATTCCTATTTCAATTACTCAACCAAAGGAATTAGACACAGTTTTGCCCCAGCTGACACTTTTCATAATACAGCATCTCAGAGGCTGTTAAAATGGCCATTCCCCATTTCAGAGCACTTCTGTGAAAGGACTGAAGGAAACTGTGCGAATCAGACCCGTCAGATTGCAGCATTTCCTATATATACAATCTGCACAGACAGAGCCTGGAAGGGGGAACATCAGTTTTGGGAGGAACTATTTTAGAGAAACACCAGGAAGCAAACATGAGCCAGGAGG